GCTTCGTGAGGTACTTGAAGAGAAAAGGGATAGTCCCTGTTTTGCTTCTGGGTGAGCACCAGGACCTCGGAGTCTTGCGGATGGTGGATCTGTTGTGCATGCTACCCATTTTGGGAGCAGAGAGGATCATGGAGGATGAAGCTGAGAGCTCGTATTATCCCCCATGGGTGTTGCGCTGGAAGAGAAGTGCAAAGGAAGGATCCTTGGTGTTTAAGGAACTGGTGGAGCGAGTGCGAGTGATTTCGATGTTGTCGTGTGATACACTTCGGATTCACGAGCCGGAGCTGAGGGAGAGACCAGTCCCCAAGTGGTCGTTTGTGGCCTACAGCCACTACAGATCCGTGATGGAGTCTGTTGCAGGATTCTTGGAGGACCTGGAGAAAAAGAAAGAGGAGATCACCGACACGCAGAGGGCGGCAAGCTGGAAGAAGGTGGTTGCGAGTGAGACTCGAAGCGGTGTTGTGTGGATCTGCAAGTGTAAGTGGCACTTGCCGACCGACTATGTGGTGAGGTTCAACTTGACGTTGCCTGCCGACATGTGGCAGCAAGCCTTTGGGATCATGGGTGAGAATGTTGGGAAACTCGAGAAGGAGGAAAAGGACCTGAAGCGGATCCTCAAGGCTGCAGCGGAACAGCAAGACCGAGAGTTCGAGGAAGCTGAGCGAAAGCGCAAGCGCATCGCCGACCTGTCAGCTGCCGAGGAAGAAGCTGCTAAGAGAGCAAAGCTGGAAGGCGAAGCGGTTCGCTCGCCTGTGTCAGTTGTACCATCTGAGTTGGATGCAGCAGCTATCGCGCAGATTGCTGAGCGTGTGAAGGCAAGCTTTAGTGTTGCCGATTTGGAGCTGATGTTGGAAGAGAAGAAGAGAAAGGTTGGAGACCAGCCAACTGAGAGGCCTGCGGAGACGCCAGCTGAGCCTAGCCGATCTTCGCAGGATGTGATGATGGAAACGAGGACGGCTGAGTTGGCGGAGATGAAGGAAGCCGCCAAGGAGCGCCGCGCCAAGTTGATGGAGTCAACTGGAGCTGGCGAGAAGAAGGGCGAAGAGGATGAAGAATGAACTGAGATGCTAAGTGATCTCAGTGGTTGGGTGGGTGAGTGAAACCCGCAGCCATTTTTTTTGGAAGCCATGGCCGCGTTGCCGCCATGGAGCGCCCGCGATTTTTCTGGTTAGTGTGAGCCCTTGTTTCAGTGCATGAGAAGTTTGCAAAGAGGAGGCAAAATGATGATGAAACTCAACGAGGGACTCTATAGCCCCTTCTGCAAGGCGTCTGATTGCCACCTCTGAAGACGTTTTTGGCTGATGGTACGCTGGAAGAAGCGAAACTATGAAGCCAATCTTTTCCTGAAGGATCAGCTAGCCGATGCTAGTTGGTGAGTTTGGTGACCTGGAAGATGCGAGACTGAGGAGGAGTACCACGACAAGGTCGAGTGCTGAGTGGGAAACATCTGAAGCTTGCATTAATTCGTTTTCACGTGTTTGTCACCACGAACTCTTGGATTCGTTCCAAGACAACCCTGCCCCAGTGCAGGTGGATGCAAGTTTAATTCGTTTTTCACGTGTTTGGACAACGAACTCTTGGGTTACCAGTGATGTGGACCCAGGACAACCTGCCTGATGGTGGGATCTTGCATGAGTTTTAAGTTTGATGTCAGAGATCGACTGGTGTGTTGTTTGTTTCGTTTGGTGGCGAGTACGCACCAAGGGAATGTGGCCAGGGCATCCCCTTAGTGTTGAAGTGCCGAGCTGGGCTTGGACTTCAGATCTTTGACATGAACCCTCAGCAAAATGCGGGGGGTGGAAGATTGTGGCTGATCAGTGATGTTTTTGTCATGTTTTGGATCAGCTTGTATAGGTTTGTTTTGCTTCGGAGTGATTGGGAATCCGTGTGATCCCATCCTCGATGGTTTATGCCTCGTTGATTTCCAAGGAAATCATACGAGTGTGTTTTTGCCCAATACGCTATTTAAAGTGAGTGTGCAGTGTGTAGGAACTTCGTTCTGAAGCTGAGTTTAAGCTCACAAGAGAGAATTCGTTTAGTTTGTGCACTTCGTGACTTTTGGCTCAAGTGGCTCTGACTGTGAAAAAGAGAGAGTTGTCCGCACTTGTGTGAGAGGTCAGGGTTCGTGCTTTCAAGGGAAAAGGTACCAGAGGGACCTTCGGTTTTTCACGCAAACAGTCCGTACGACGAACTATCGGCTTGTTTGGGGGGTTTAGAAAACCCCGGCCCAGACATGGCAGCATTGTGCGTGTTCCATGTCGGGTCGGAATGCTGCCTAAAACCATGGGAAACAGTGAAACAGACACGTTTGGGCACAACACTCCATACGACCTGTTCATGTGGAACTTTTCGGCTTGCTTGGGGAAGGGTTTAGGATACCCGGGCCTTGACATGGCAACATTGCGCGTGTCCCCATGTCGTACGACTTTTTTTTGAACTATTCGGCTTGTTTGGGGGGGTTTAGGATACCCGGCTCTTTATGTCATCTCATCATAAACGGCGCCAAAGCAGGTCAAGCCATGAATTTTTGAGTTTTTTGGTTGTGGCGGAGGATTCCAGGGCCTTCCAGGGGCTTTCAGGGTTTCTGACCATGCTGTGCTTTTTGGAGCAAGAAAAAAAATGGGTAAGAAACCGCGCTTGTGGGGACACGCTTAAGTGCCCAAGCAGTAAATGTTGATTTTTAGCAAAGACTGGACAACATCCATCGAGGCTTGTACAAGCGGGCTTTTCGAGTTAGTCATTGGAGTGGCCCTTTTTGAGACTGATGGCGTTTTTTCCCGGCCGCTCTGCCAAGATTCTTGGTGGGAACTCTTGTGACCTTGCGATTTGGCTTGCTCTGGTGACACACTCCACGGCAAACGAACAGCAATTTCCCGGGACCCGCCACAGCTGCACAAAATTAGACAACAGGTGATTTAGGAAGCCTTGTGCAGGCCTAGCTCACGCTTTCTCTGACCCTTATGTGTGGGTGGTGTTGTGCCTGTCAAGTCCCTGCTGAGAGTCTCACCAGCAGCTCCACGTGCGGAATTTGGGTTCGAGACTTTTGCCACCGACTCGGCATCATCTCGCGGATCGAAAAAAAGTGTTTTTGGCTGCAAACTGCACGGTGATGCTGCAGTCTTTGTCAAAACAAAAGTAATTGTCAACAAAATACAATTGCGAAAATGAAATGTCTAACACAGTTTTGCTTGAGCCCACCGCAAAAAGCTGAACAAGCCGTTTCTGCTTGGTGGTTGTTGGTTTGGGTTGTTGGCTTGTTTCGGTTCTTGGTTTTCTTAATTTGCGCGCTGTTTCGCCCATAAAGGGAGCGCAAAAAGCGCGAAAGGGCTGGTCTGGGTAGCACGGTTGACATCGACCAGCGTGCTGGAGAGTGCACGTTTCCTGTCCGTTTCGGGATATTTTGAACACGAGCCCCTTTACAGCGACAGCTGCACAGTGGGCGAGTCCATGTGGTTGATTATTAGCATGCTTTGACTCGCAGTTCCACCCAGTGCAAGTCAGATATGTTGCGCTCGAGTGATTGCTGGTTTCGATCTCTGGTCGACAGCGCGGTTGTACTTTTGGGGTCATGGTGGCTCTGCCAGGGCCATGGTTCTCCGCGCTGTGTCAAGGTTTAAGCTGTCGAAGGGACGAAGCGTATCTCCATCGCAGTGCAGGCCCTCACACTTGTGCACATCCCTGACACTATCCGCGGAGCAGACCTCAACAGGCGGGACTCGTGAAGGCCACTATGTCGGTCACAATTGGTGGTGCGGAGCACTCAGGCACAGTGGCCTGGCCGTTATTGGCCGTTAGTGCTTGACAAGACGCAATCTGTGTTTCGCATAAAAGTTTGTGAAGAACACGAACATTTGCAATCGGACGGTAATCTGTGGGGACTTTTGCCTGTCATGATCGTGCCAACGTCGACCAGTACGAACCATGCAGACGCATTGGCCAAGTTTTTTCCCTGCGCCTTGCGGGGGCTGTTCTCAAGCTTTCAATGTGCACTTCTGCACCATCTTCGAAAACAGCTCCGCAAGACATGTATGGTCACAGCCTGGGAATCACGGTGGCCTGAAAATCTGAAAATGTAGCTGTGAGGTTGACAACATGCGGCGTGTGTGTGCATGGCATCGTGGGGTTGGATCCCCGCTGCGGCCAAATACATGACCCATGGAAAACCACCTTCCGGGCAATCCCGATGCCGCTTCGCCTGAAGCTTGACACAGTTCTGGCGCCAAATCACTTTCGACGTGCAATGCTAAGTGTCATAGACTATGTGGCCCCGCAGGCCCCGCGCGGGCATCTGTCAGGCCGACGTGGCGCCCGGCGTAACTGCCAAGCTGCCAAGGCAATCAAGCAAATACAATCCATCAGCCCATCCATGTGCCAAAAGTATACAGCAATGGATTGACGTGTGCTTGTTGAGACGTACATACAGCAAGAGTTCCAAGGAACCACATGAACAGATTTGAAGTGTGTTAGGTGAGGTTTGCCCCTCTGTTGAAAATTCGGCAAGGCCTGGGGATCAACTGACCCAAGACAGGAGTATGTAGATCGAGGACGATGGCTCTCACGAATTAGACATTGCCGACGGCATTTGCAGTGGAGAGTTTTCATAAGACCATACGGTAGTTTCAGTTTTTTTGACATCTTCAGCCATTGAGCAGGTTCGGGTATTCCCGTCAGCCAGGGACAGCTGTCACGTCCAATTGAAGCTTAGCCGCCTCTTGACATGGGATCTCGTCAACATCCAAATGGAGCGAGTGCAAGCCTTGTGCTGCTGTCTGCTGCTGGGGGTTGCCACGCTCTTCAGCATGTTCTGGGCACCTGCACCCGGCTTCCGGCTTCAAGCTGAGAAGGTCAGCTTTGAGAGTTTTTACAAGTCGGCTGCCCCGACCGATACCCCCATTGCGGCTGCAGCAGTCGCCCCAATTACCCCGGTCACCCCAGACACCCCTGCAAGCCTGCCGTCCTACGCCTCCAACGTGCCCACAGCTGCGGCCACGGCTGCGGCCATGGCTGCGACCACGGCCGCGCCGGCTCCGAGAGCTGAAGCTGGCAAGAGGCATGCGGCTCTGCTTCTCATCGGCGCAGCGCGCGCTTTGGTGTGGCCTGCCGTGTGTGAGAATATTAAGAGGAGGCTGGTGGACGGCTTGGCGAGACCGGTTCCCGGTGAAGATTGGAAAGTGGACGTGTTCCTGTTTATGGCCCTGGAGGAAGAGGATGCCAAATGGGGACGGATGGCACATGACTACGGCAGCGAACAGCTCAAAGCTTGCAGCAAGTTGCTGCGGCCCACGTACGTGCAGTTTATGCCGCCGAGCTACCAGCCTGTCAAGCGCAACTGCAGCAAAGGCCACGAGCCAGCCTGGGACTCGAAGGACGTAAAAAAAGATGTGCGAGGGCGTATCTATTCGCAGTGCTATCGCATCCAAGCGGCCTTTGACTATCTCTTGGACGTCTTTCAGCCTCAGGCCGGTGTGAAGTACGACGCGATCATCCGGGCAAGGCCCGACATCATCTACTTGAACCTGGGCCATGCAAGCTTTAGGGCAGACGCGCAAGTGTTGCGTAAGGCTGACATTTTTTTGAGGGAACACCCAACAAGCAGTAAAGCTGAGCCAAGGAAAGACGTACCCCCTCTGTCGAACTTCAACCTCTCCCGGCCGACGGCGACAGCGACAGCCATGGCGGATCATTTTCACGTCATCCACCCCGGTTGCAGGGGTCCCCTGGACCGCACTTGCCTGAGGTGCAAAGGTCAAAGCTTCGACCTTCTGTGCAGAGAAGCCGACTTCCAGCTCTATCGGGAGTCAGGGATTCAGTCCGTCGTCGCCCGCGAAATGCCGATGAGCCGGGCGAAAGAGCTCAAGGTAACACCCCCACGACGGAAGTCCAAAGAGTACGGCTTCCTGTTCTTGGAGTGTGAGAGGTTGGATCGGCGCCTCGGATGCTGCATCTTTTTTGAAGGGATGTTCGTATCCTGCACACACCCAGCCGAGTCTTGAAGACCCTAAACCGTAGACCCTATTTTAGCCTAAGCCCTAAACCCTGTGAAGTCTTTTTTTGCAGGATCTTGGGGAAGCTGTACCCGGACCTGGTGAAGGAGAGCCTCCGCAACTGCAAGGCTCACAAGAAGTTCTTCCTGGAATCTCCTTTGCCTGGTACCACCTAGCCGCTCTTAGAGGCCTTCTGCATTGTTTGGGTGGGGATTCCATAGGAACCCTCCGACAGTTCCCTGGGCATGGTCATGGAGAAGCTGCAGATCGGCGACCCGCGGCGCAGCAGCGCAGACTTTTTCTAGGAAGCGAAGGCGACGGAGGCCCTCCATTCGGGATGCAAAGCAGGAATCAAGGCTTCTGATCTCGTCCGCCAAGCTCGCAGCAGGCCAAGATCGGAGAGATTACGTCGGATTGGCTTGTCAGCCGTTCTTCCAGTGACGGCGCGCAAGTCACGAAAGTATTTTTTTCATGCGTCTTTTGCTTGTGCATTGCGCAGGATTGACAGATCGTCCGCCCCCGATTCAAGAAAGGTAGCTTCTCTCGGTACCTGATTCGCCAAGAAGAAGTACAAGTGCAGAGTGTGAGGGAGGGAATGGCCCTGCATGACTTCTCGGGGAGCTGACATGTGTGAGCGAAGTTGCCAGTTTAAGGTCTCACATCAACCCTACTTGCACATCCTAAACCCTAAGGAGCCCTAAACCCTGAGCCCCAAGATCGCGAGGGTTTCATGTGGATAAGTGACTGCTGGTGCCACTTATCGATTTCTGTCGATGGCTGGTCCACGCGCAGAACGCTCCAGACCGATCATGAATGGCCTGGCACCGAGGTAGGGTTAAACCGTGAAACCACAAATCCTCCGAACCCTAAAGACCCTAAACCCGAAACACTCCAAGCACTCGGTGTTCTACTTGCGCTGCAGCCGATAAGCCCGACAAGCCATTAATCCTTTGGGGTGGTGAATGTTTGATTCGTGCTTTCTTGTAATTGGCTTGTCGGCTTTCACCTTTCTTGTACATGGTGTGGGACACAGATATCCACGGAAGCCTTTTTGCTAAGTCGCACTTTTGCCTGGGTTCTGTGTGTGGCGTGCAGTGGCTGGGAACTGGAGTAGCGGAACCTATGGCAGTGCAATTGCTTGAAACCCTTGCCCTCTTGCAACTCAGGCCCTACGGCCCTCGGGCCAGAAGGCCCTGAGATCCGCACACCTTGGGGCCCTAACCCCCGAAATCCGGAGAGATCCGAAGACCGAGACCAAGTCCGAAGACTTAATGTAGGGTTGCTCGATCCCTGGTAAGGCCCAGAAGCTTCTTTGGCAGCCCTCAGCAGCTTCCTTCCTGCACGGGGCGCTGCATCGACGGGCACTTTGACGGAGGGCTTATGGAGATTTAGGTCTAGCGGAGGTTGAGGGGGGTTAGGGTTCAAGGTTTACGGGTTTGTTGCTTGGGGTTGGGAGGCCCAGGGGTGTTTCATACGTCTTTTTAGGGCTTCCGAGCTTGTTTTGGCCGTTAGAGTGGCAAGCCCAGACACCAGAATAGGGGTTTAGGGTTTAGGCTTGAGGGTATTTTGTGGGTTCAATACTGGCAGCCTGGGCCAGGAGTGGGGCTCGGCGGCCCCAGTTGCAGTAGAGTTTTGCATGACCTGAGCCCTACCCTGAAAACTAGTCACTTACGATTGTGGCCCATTTGTTGGGCAACTTGTTCTTGGTAAATGCTGGTTGTCAGGTGCGACCACGTGTCAAATGAACCAAAGTCATGGGTGCTCTTGGGAGTTGTGGTTTTGGGGTGTTGGGTTTCGGGTTTTGCGATGCTCGCTGAAGACGTCCAGGGCAAAGTAAGTACCTGGCTGGCACCAGAGAATCGAGAGTTGGAGCCCTAAACTTCCTAAACCCTAAACCATTGCAAAAACCTCACCCTGAAACCTCAAATCCTAAACCGTAAACCGAGGTTCATAGGGTTTTCGGGGCTTGCTTTGAGTGAGGTGGCGCCAGGGTCTCGAGATCACATTGGGGCCCTCCACGCAGCTGCCAAGGCAGACAGGGACCCCAACCCTGGACCCTAAAACCCTGAACCCTAAAACCCTAGACTCCTCCTTTCACCGCCTAAGGTCTTGGGTTAGGGTTCCTAAATGAGGTTTTACGTCCTTGTTTTTGGTTTGGTTGGGGACCTTAGAATCTGAAAGTGCTCATAGTATCCGCAGCGCGCACCGTAGCGAAAACACTCGCCGCAAGAGCTGGCACACGAAGCGTTCTATCCGGGCAAAGAGTCAGCCAGACGAGCGACCTCAAAACTCCAAACCCCCTTCCCACATCCTGAAAGCCCACTCCTTAAGCAACAGACGTTACCCTCACCCCTCAACCCTAAACCCTAAACCCTAAATCCTTACAGCTTAAGAGTAGGCCCAAGCTGCAAAAGGCTGGGCAGTGGGCGGCTTGCTTGGATTTGTGGAGGCCGGTTGCATCTGTCGGCTTCGGATGATCCTTAGACCGGCTCACGCACGGCTGAGTTGAAGGTTTTGGGTTGTGGAGACTCAAGCTTCAAGGCTTTCTTAGGTTTTGGGTTGTAAGGTCTGGGTCTTGGGTTTGGGTTGCAAGGATTAGGGTTCTAGGGCCCTATGTCTGTCCTGATGGTTGATGTTGCCACGACTCGCTGCGAGAACTCCAACCCCTCAGCCCTAAAGCCTAAGCCGGAAGGGTTTGGGGTTTAGATGGGTTTAGGAACGTGGTTTAGGGTTTTGCGTTGTTTTGTTGGTCCGAGGCTGTGGAGGTGTAGAGTTGAGGGGTTCATTGGCGGGTTGGGCATGTTATGATGTGTGGGTGCTGCTGCAAACCTTAGCCGTAGACACAAGCCCTAAACCCTAAATGGCAGTCTTGTGCCTTGGTGTAGGGCTTCGGTTTTAGACTCGAGTGCCTTGTTTTGGTTCCGCTAACCCTAAACCCCAAACCCCAAACCCTGAACTCCAAACCCCAAACCCCAAACCTGGAACCCTAAACCCCAAACCCAGCCTCATCAAGAGGCCGGGGCATCCCATCGAGGAGGCCAACGTAGCGCTGGCCTCCCTGGGACGTTGTGCGTCTGGGCCCTGCCTTGCGGGTTCAGGGTTCAGGGTTCAAGGTTTAGGGTTGAAGTCGCCTCCCCTACTCACGACGCCGCCCTTGGGGACCTTGTATATGAATTCAGATATGGGGCTGTTGAGAGAATGTGGCGGCCGTGGGGGTTTTGGGGCACGCAGGGTTGGCGTTGGGTTTGACGGTTTTTTGGGCGAGGGCTCCAAGACTCCCTGGCCTGCGCGAGCTTCACGGGGGGCGATGGGTTACGTGTGGCTAAGCGTCGGGTACCTCCTCCACTCGCCGGGCCGCCGCAGCACCGAAGCCTCGCTGTGCGTCATCTGCCACGGACTGCAGCGACCTGCCCGCGTCCTGCGCCTTCTGCGTGCCTCCTGCATGCCGGTTCGGCAATCCTGTCGCCAATCCTGTCGCCAGCACAGGATTGATTAGCGCAGGATTGATTCGCCAATGTGTGGGCATAACACCCCCCTGGTATGTCTGTTGTTATTGCTTCTAAGGGCTTTCTCGGGCGCCTCTATGAGGCTTGGAGTCTTAGAGTTTAGTGAGGATTCGCTTTACTTCGCTTTATGTTCCATCAGGCCTTTAGTCAAAAGGCATTCTGGGGGGAGGAGGAGAAGGTCCACAAGGAAATCAAGCATCGAGCTGGCAAACACAGCATGCAGCAGCTCGCCAACATCGCTGCTTGTCAGTCAAAAGAGTTCGCCGGCGTCAGCGAACAACTTAGGGGCATTCCACAGGCCGTCTTCCTCCTTGCCAATAGCGTGCAAGGTCTGCGTCTCAAAGCAGACGGTGGATTCAACTAGCGCGCAGTGCTTGCCCCAGCAAACTAGTCCGTTACAACCCGCCCGCTACGGGCAGAACAAAAAGGCAACTTAGCAGCAGGCACATTGCCACTTTTTCGGCAGTGCGACGCAACGGCGCCAGCGGATCGGAGACGACAAACATCTAACACCCTAAACTTCGAAGCCCCAAAAACCAAATAACAAAAAAGGACTCCTGACTCCCGATCAAACTCAAAAACCAAGAGCACAAAACCCAACAATCCCCAAAACACCCAAACCCCAAAGCTCATTTGATTTAGCGTTCTGGAGGTACAACATCTGCCTTGTTCAGGATAGGTGTTGCATCAAAGCATGTAAAGTAGACCATACCATTGATGTTGTCATCCTGAAGCACTAAACGTCGAGTGTGTACTTGGTCCTGTATAGTGAGCTTCTGTTTTTTAGTGCAAGCAATGTATTCTAGCCATTCTAGTCATTGGTGCTGGCCACCCTGCAGCCATTTGCTTACAGTCGATTCCGAACCGTTCATGGCGCGACATGTTCGATGCCTTGAAGAGCACATGGGCTGGTGTTCTCTACTTCTTTGCATCGCTTTGCATGCTGGATGCAACACGCGGTGACGATGCTTGGGCGATCCAGTTGCTTCAACGCCAGCTTGCGTTGACAGGCCGGGAACAAGCTTTTCTTGCCTGCTGCTTGTAGCAATACCGCGTGCATGGCAGAAACAAACAGTGTTCTTTGCGTCGAACATATGATTATATATCCTCACAGGCACCGTAAACGGTGGGCACTTTCCACTTTGATGGACCGTGTTTGTAGAACCGAATTAGAAGATTTACGGTGGGTAGTATGATGTATGTGTGTATGCAAGTCCTTCGACTGAAAGGATGTCACCAAAGCCTCATTACAAGCGAAAGCCAAGTCAACATGGCATGTGCCATTTTTCAGTTTCACAAGTTAGCGAAAGCAACTAATTTCCAAGGCTTATATATTAGTGGGTCTGTAGCTACACATATTCGTTGCCCAGGCCTTTTTCTTCTCGTAACATCTCGTAATCTTGGAGGCTTCTTGGAAGGTAGCTCGTTTGTAGTCAGATGGCATTGCAAGCCTGGTAAGCTTGAAGATACGCTTCAGAAACCTGGTGGCTGTTGTGTTGCACTGTGGCAGTTCGTACATAGCGACTACAAGCAGTGTAAGCCATGAGGCTTCCTTCATTTCACAAGCCTCACTGTGTGGGGTTCTTGTTCCCGAATACGCTGCCGAAGGGTCCTCGTTTAAAGAGTTTGGGGTCTGGAGTGGAAAAGAGGTTCCCAAAGTCATTGCTGAAACGTCCGTGAGCGTCCATGAAGCGTCCGCGAAGCGTTCGCGAGTGGCGTTTCGGAACCTGCGCTCCGGCATTTGTTTTGGTGTGCCGTGTGGGGCTGGGAACCCGGCATTTTTTTGGCTTGGTTTGCATGCGCCGTTTGGCGGCTGTAGTTGCGGAACCCTGCGTTCTTCGGCAGGCCCGCCGGAAGAACGCTTACAAGCCGCCGAGCCTCTTTGGTGGTCTCTTGCCTGAATTGCTTGGAGAAGGAACGGGAATCTGATCTCCAACAAAAAGTGTTTAAGACTTGACTCTTGACAGTCTCTCGAGGTTTGCATGTGGGTGCTTCTAGGGTTGGCTACTTTTAGCTCAGGTTTCATTGCCCGAAGTGCGGCACTTCGTTTGTCAACAGCTTAATCAACCTGCCTGGTGTTTGTCCCGGATTGACATTGCGCAGCGTTGATAGAACGACCCTTGGCTACTGTTTCTTGCCAGAGTTCCTCACCAAAGTGTGCCCATCGTGGTGTTCGCAGGGTATGGAGTGTGTATATCCTCCACACCCAGCCCTTGGCAACTACACAGCAAAAAAAGGCCGATTGGTGGGATTCTTCCGCGAGCCGGATCAACGCATTCTGTCAGGTTATCATGACCTGGACGATGCCTTTGCCTCCACCTTCTCTTGGGACCACTGGCCTGCGTGTGATGAGTGGCGCGCCCTTGAGCAGCTGCCACGGAAGCCTCTCCTGGAGTTCGCAAACTTGTGGAAGGGAGGCATGACGTACCAGCTCACGGGAGACGGATCTCCCCTTGACCCTCAGAGGCCCAAGATGACCTCCGAGGATGCGAGGGAAGCGTCCCGACGGGTGCGGGAGGGCTTTGCTTTTGTGGGCATTACGGAGGAGTGGGACATGTCCGTCTGCCTTTTCCACAAAATGTTTGGTGGACCTTGTCAACCAGAGGAATTTGTGGACATTCGACCTTCAAGTTGGGGAAAAAATGCTTCCGTCGACTACGACACATCTCAGCTGCTGGGGTTTCATGATGATATTGATGAAGTCGTGTATTCTGCGGCGCTGGGCGTGTTCAAGGCAAATCTTGTCGTGTACAACGTGTCGAAAGACTCGTGCCGGTCCTGCTTCTCAGTCCGCGGGTCCTGAACCTGTGAACAGAGGCCTATATTCTCTAAACCCTAAACCCTAAACTCTAAAACCTAATCCAGAAGGGAAACCCTCGGCCTGAGGGTGAGCGCAGACAGCGTATAGTTTGCCGCAGACAGCGTGATTTGGCCCGAAGAGCCGTAACGACAGAGTCTCACATAGCTCGCGTGGGAATGGGAGCAGAAACTGAAAGTAGTAATGGCGCGGAGTCCACTCGCATTCCTGCGCGAACGCAGCATGAGCTCTTGCCCGAAAATGGCTGTGAGATGCTGTGAGATGTAGCGAGGTGCGTTCCGTGCTCTTAAGTCCTTAAGCCCCAAGCCCTATACCTGAACCCCCAGCCCTGAAACCCCAAACCCGAAACGAAGAGCCAAGGCCAGGGTTTAGGTTTAGGGTTTTAAGGGGGGGGTCTTAAGAGCCGTCTCTCAGTTTTGGGTTCGGGCTCTGCGGGATTTTGCGAGGTGCGCTCGCCCTTTCAAGCCCAGTAGAGCCCAAAGCTTGGGAGTTTAGGGTTTAGGCCCTAAACCCTAAGCATACCGAGCCCAGCTTGCCCACAAGCTGAGTGTGATAGAGTCGAAAACCGTCCTCACTCAGACCCAGGCTTGGGTCAATCACGGCTTAGGGTTGTGAGGGCTTGGTGGAGCGTAGGGTTTAGGGCTTAGGTCAGGTGAGGTTTAGGGCTTAGGGTCTTGGGCTTTGGATTTTTCTTTTTAAAGCTCAGAGGCCCACTTCTCCATGGCCTAAGGCAGTGGACTCGTGCGCCCAGTCCTCAGCCGCGAGGTTGGCTGCAGTTTAGGGTTTTCAGGGTTTAGCGAGATGCCTGACTGCTACAGCTTCTGAGGGATCTTGAGCTAGGGGTACTGAAACCCTCCACCCGACCCGAGTGGGCGAAGCAATTCTTTGCAGGATGCAGGATTAGCGGTATTGGGGCTAATGTCAGCCCAGAGCACTCTCCAAAGCCATTTCTGAGATTACTCAAGCTTGCTAAGTGAGGCTCTCTCTCCTGAGCTCCTTGCCGCAGTCTCTCCTCCGCCCGACGGTGGTGAGCGCTGTGCTGAGTGGGGTGTTCGGGAGGGGGAAGATGGGGGTGAGAGTCGAAGCCCTACACATGATCAACAGATCCAGTTTCAAAGCTCTTCCCACAGCACCTCTCCGCAGGAAGGAGGATAAAGCACAAAAACCCCAAAAGCCTAAAACCCTCAACCCTGAACCCTAACAAGCGCAAAAGCACCCTACATAAACTCAAGCTCCGGAGCCTCCAGCCCTGGACCCTTCCTCAGGGACCCCTAGGCTAGGTGTCTGAGGGGGATGTAAGACCCAATGTTCCCAATATGAACCCTAGGGCTTAGGGATTAGGGGTTCCTCGTTGGGGGATCCTTCTCAATGGGTGGGTAACAGGGCTCGTCCCTAGTTTTCGGAAGCTCCGATATGTGCGAGTTCAGATGTTGGAAACATCTGGCACGCAATGGCACACTAACACAGCTATTGTCTGGTTGAGGTTGGGCGACGGTCCTGGCCTCAGACTTGTCGTGAAACATGGTAGGGCGGGCTTCCTAACCCTAGACCCTAAACCCTAGCCCCTAAACCCTAAACCCTAAACCTATGCTGCGTGAGTTAAAGCTTTGAGCTTGGAGGGGTCCAAACCCCTCCCCTGATTTAAGCCTGCCCTTCACCCATCCTAGCCTCCCCTGTTTTGGATGTAGGTTTTAGGGCTTAGGGTTTGGGGCCACTGCCAAACCTCCATTCTCTTGTGAGGGAGAGTCCAATGAAAAGTAAACACGATTGTGTACTTGATACCATATATCCAGAGCACGTTAGCATAATCACAAACAAGATGAAGGAATTCAAGCCCTAAATCGTAAACTCAAAACCGCAGGTCTTTGCATAGCACAGGGTGGAACTTGGGTTCAGGGTTCAGTGTAAAGGGCTTAAAAGGGATTCAAGATCCTTGTATCGTGACCTTTATTGTCCATTCCTAGTATGAAGTCGCAATTGTCATCGCGGTTTATTCATATACGTTCTATGACTATCATTGTTGTTTTTTTATCCACTCGGCCCTGAACCCTGAATCTTAACTTGCGGTCCATGGGTTTCCTGGATATCAGCAAGTTCTGAGTTTTTTTCCGACCCTGGCTCAGAGGGTCTGCACAAAACTGCAGGTGGTTGATGCATGCGCAAGGGCATCAAAGTGGCGCATGGCGTCTCTCGGCTCAGCTTGCTGCCCTTCAGGATTTCGGGTTTAGGGTTCCCCAAATCTGAGCTTGGAAAGCACTTCTTGGCTAGAAGAGAGGCCTGCCTGGGGGCCAAGTTCCGCAATTCTCCAGCAAGAGCCGGTAAGCTATAGTTTAACATACCTTGGTGCGGACCAGTCAAACAGAGCCCTCAAAAACCCGAAGCCCCAAACCCCGATGTTGCGACACTCCACAGGCTGGCAGTGTACAGCTGCGCCAGTCGGGGGCCGAGCTGCGGGCAGGAAAGCACCTAAACCCAAACTTTACAGGGCCCAGAACGTAGATTTTCCTGGCTCCTTCAAAGACGCCATTCCGACTCGAAATGCACTGCAAACCCAGTGTGGAGAAATCCCAAAGTCCACCTTTCAACGCCACGGTCCAGGGCATTGGCTCCAGGGTTTAGGGGTTAGGGTTTTAAGAGATCCTGCAGGTCCGAAAGGCCTGGTGAGGGAGACCCTAAGTCCCAAGCCATAAAGTTTCACTTTCGCCGAGGTCCGGTGAATGCGGTGGCCTGTGTCGGATCCCTACAGAAGGGTATAGGGTTTAGAGTCTGGGGTTTGAGGCTTGGGTGGTAATTTCGGCTGTGCTTATCGATATTTGTGGTGAGGCTCTCGACCCTACCGATTTTGGGGCTGTTTCACTTCAAGTTAACAGCTGTGAAGGGGCAGACCCGCAAAATCCGTTGTAAGCCCACAGCAAGAAGCACTGAGAGACCCTTCAAAGACCATTTTGCAGCGCTTAAAGTCCTTTAAAGACCCCTAAGCCCTAAACCCTAAACCCCAAACCCTAAACCTTTCAAAGTTGCCTAACTGCTGGATCCAAGCCTCCCCCACAGGGATGCCGGTCAGTAAGCCCTAAACCCTACACTTCTGGGGGCCCGGGCATCCCTTTGAGCCGAGGCAGCCGCCCTCGGCATCGGCCTCAACGTACGGTTGAAGGGTTTAGGGCTGTTTAGGGTTTGGGGTTTGAGGGTTTCGCATTCAGGGGTTTAGGGTTTAAGGTTAAGGGTTTAGGGTTTCGGGGTTTAGGCTTAAGGGTGAAGGCTGCCGGGCAAATGGGGTCACGAATAGGTTTGGGGTCTGGAAGTTGTAGACGTGTACACTCCTGGAGACTGGTGCTGCAGGCGACAGAGTCACAAAGCCAGACACAACGGGTTGCGCAGGACAGGAGGCTGCTCGTAGACTCCGAGCTTAAGCTCTTTATCATCTTCTAAGAGCGACAGTCAGGGATAGGGAGTGAGAACTTGGGAGAAGGTGCTACACTGACAACTTCCCCTTTGCACATGGTGCCAGCTGTTCCCAAGATCGAAAACAACCTTAGATCTCCTCCCCCTCCCCCGGGTACGAACACAACTGCTTCAGAGAACTCTGGGACGAGCTCTTGGGGTTCGAAGCCGCAGCCCCGGACCTCTCCGCCTCCGCCCAGAGGTGGGTGTCAGAGGACTGCTCGTTGGAGCCAGGTTGGTCTGCAAGCTCTGACTGCCCGCTTTGCTCGGAAGTTGAATGCAACGATGAACCCCAAGACTCTCAGCCCTCCTCATCCCGAACATGGATAAGTTCCCCCGAAGTTTTAGGGCAGCTGTCGGGGGTTTAGGGTTTAGGGTTTAGGGTCTGTGTGAGGTTCCTATCACACTACGGGCCTTTATGCCTCAAAGATCAAGAAGGAGTCCACAATCTTGGAGGCCTAACCACATAGCGCTGTGGTTGATAGGAAACCCCAAAGGGAAAATTAAACTTAGTGCGAAGGGAGGATACCCTCATCCCCCACAGCCCCATACTTATGGAATCTTAAACCATAGTTGCGGAGGTTCCTGGGTAGGTCGGTCTCAAGCTCTGCCGGAGTTGTGCTTGCAGACAAGACCTCACCGCCGAAAATCTCAAGATGCTCTGAGGCTTCCACAAACCTAAAGCCCTAAACCTTCAACCGAGACCCTGAACCCGAAGCCCTAAACCCTACACCCTAAACCCTAAGCCCTAGCCGCAAATAGCACCCCAACCGTGGCAGGCGGCCTGGCTGCTGGACCAGGCTACAGCTCCGTAGAGGGCATCGGGCGTTAACGGGGCGGGAGGGTCCCTTACAAGGTTGCGGGATAAGGATTCCACCATATTTAGGGTGTAGTCAGGGTTAGGGTTCAGAGATGAGGGTTTTGGTTTAGGGTGCCCAAAACGGAGCCATCATGTCGAGAGCTGGCCCTACGCAGTGCGCATATGTGCACAGTGCCAGGGTGCTGTTGTGCAGCCCTACAGCCCCCAAGTCGTTTCGAACTCTCTCTCCGAAGCTCTGCAAGAGAACGCTAAGCCCCAAACCCTAAACCCTAAACCTTAAACCCTAAACCCCCCAAACCCAAACCCTTAACCCTAAACCCCAAACCCCAGACCCAAACCCTAAACTTCATGAATCATGGTCTTCCTCTGTTCGGAGGCCTTCCGCTCCGGGCCTCTGCCAGACACCGTGGCCTGGCTCATGTGGGGTTTAGGGTTTAGGGTCTGGGGATTTAGGGCTTAGGTTTTTGTCTTTTGGGTTTGGGGTTTCGGGTTTGGCTCGGTATTCAAAGCCCAGCACGGACCGTAATTTCGAGAACTGCCTATGTGTGAGCTTACGGTCTGCCGTTTTTAAGGGTTTCGGGTACTTAGGACGGTGTAGCTTGGGAGTGAAAGATTGATTTAGATGAAGGCGCAAACAAGATATTCCGAGCCTTAGTCACATCACGCAAGTTCCTGGACTACCTCTGGGCTGCGGGGCAGGGAGAGTTTGGCGGGACCTTCACCC